CTGCCACGTTCGTGGCTCTGAACTACTTGGCAGCAGGGATGAGTGCAGTTTTGTACATGAGAGCAAAGCCGAGCTGAAAGCAGTCAGAAATAGCTATGGAGCATGAAATCTAATGATGGCCCAGCTCCCTTTTCACTCAAAAGCAATCATATCCCCATGCTCAGAAACTGGCAAACAGTTGAAAATATTCTCCTTTACTTGACTGCACAGCTGAGCAATTACACACTGTATGGGAAAACACCTCTAAATACTTGCTTTGCAGGCTGTGAGCTGGAATGGGAGCAGGCTCCTGGATTGAGATGCGGAGCTCTGAGCAGCCACCACTCTGTTGTCAATAACAAGTGGCATGCCAGGAATAACATCACATTTATGCCAGGCTCAGAACCACAGCCTAAGGTTTTTGAAAGAGCACTGGTTTAGCACATGTCAGCATTTCAGAGCTCTCAGCCCTAAGTTTAGATGGTTGTGTAGCCCTCTGCATTGTGTATTTAACAACTAAATCAAGTCTCCCTTAGAGAGATATGACAGAAGGAAGTAATAGAAAATATAATATGATCTAAACAGCACAATTTTTGTTTCAAGTGTTGTGAAACCCAGCTTTTTGTCAAGGCTGATACGCGCAGCTATTCAGTAGAGAAGCTCCCTCAGAACTGTGAGTGATCAGCGTCTCTGGCATTCAGGCCAAGCATCTGGTTTTCAGTTTAAATCCAGACTTGGATTCAGTCATTGAGTTTGCTGAGGCTTGAAAGGTTATTGAATCATTGCTGCCTTAAAATACACTGCGCTGTATGCCTTGTGGCATACTTACTTCACCATACTTACTCGATGCTGCAGCTATCACAGATGCATATGCTGGGTGGACACTGCTAGAACCTAAAAATAAAAGATTATAATTTTCACTTACAATGTTAATGAATAATAATAAATGGAGAAGGAAAGATTAAGGAAAATGAGGTGTGCGAAAATCATATGAGAATTCCTTCACAGTGTTTTAATCTTTAAAATTCAAAAGCTGTTACAAAAAATATATTACAACTTTCATTTATTGAAAGTTATCACAAAAATAATTCTGAGTCTTGACCTATCTATCTAACTCTCAGTCTAGACATGTGAATCAAAGAACTATTTGTTGAAAAGCCTCACATACCTGAAAATCATCACAGCATTTGGGGATGGAGAGCTTACTCCCACATGAATTGGTTTATATGCCAGTAAATTATAAGCAAAGATAAAGATTAGGCATAAATTTTACTGTGGATGAACTCTCACCTTAGAAAATATACATGTCTGTATTTATGTGAGATGCCTTAAATTTGTACGTGTCTCAAAGGCACAACTCTAACTCCAGCCCATCTGCTGGAATTAAATATTTTTTTCCAGTCCTAATATTTCTACATGGAATTACTGAATTTGTGATCCACTAAATCATGATATATCCAGCTGTATGTCTTGTTCTCTACATTTTGGGAAGGCTGTCATTTGGGAGGAAAGCAATGCAAACATCCACGCCACTGACCCATATCTCTGACCCTGTGCAGTCCAGGTCTAGTCTTGGCTGCAGCTGCTGTGGTTCTGGTTGTTGCAGGTGTTGTGGTTGGCTGTGGCACTGTGGTGGAAGGATCTGTCGTCGTGGTCGTTGGTGTCGGGGTTGTGGTGGCCATTTGTGTGGCTGATGTCGGCACTGGAGACGTCTGATACTCTTTGCGGACTGCATCCCCTGCAGGAACATTGGTATGGTGACTGTAGCTGGATGCCTGTCATGCATGGAAGCATCATCAACAGCACTCACTCTTTAAAAGCAATCCAGAAAATGGCATTCTGCTCAGGCTACCTACAAGCATCCTCATCTGTGGAGCCATTAGTGCCTTCACAGCTGTGTGGTGCTTCATGGTACAGGTGCCTGCATGACGCTCCTACGCTGCTCTCAGAGGGTGCTGACAGCAGCCTGTTGCAGTCTGAATGTTCCCTCTACGCTTTTCTGCTTTGGCCAGGAACACTTATCAACCTCAGAGACATCTCAGACCTATGAAGTGGTTCAATCAGCCAGTTGCAGTTTCTGTTTTGCCATTATCTTTTCTCAGTGTAATTAAGCCTTAGTCCATGTAAATGAAAATCAAATGGCATCTGGTAGTAAAAGATGGCCAATCTGAGTCATGGACCAGAATAAAATATGCAGCATTGAAATGTTTTCGGTAGATGGACAACTTTCAGTTAATGGTGATTTGGGAGTGGGTCTGAGCCAGAGAGGGAGTGTTAGGGCTTTGGATGAGAGGAGTGGGGGAGAGCACCACCTGGGAAGTGCCAATCTCATCTAAGTTTGACTCATCTCACAGTTGCTACTACTTTTAAAGTGTATCATCTGTTGTGAGAACAAAGACAATTCTAATTGCAAAACTCGCATCCTAAATATCCTTACAAAAAATTGTCAACATGCTTGAGTTCTTTCAAGTCATTGTCTCAAAAAAGATCCTTCACTGTTATCGTCTCCATTTATCTACAAAAGCTTACTCTAAAATATATTCCATGTTAATCTCAGTCTTGTTTCTCTCCTTCCTGTCCATAGCCCTGGGGATGGCCTAACGCACAGTCTACACTGAAAAGGAACGGTGTGCACTTTGTTCACTGCTGCACAACACAAGCTTGTATTTTATTGCTGTTTCTGGATGTTCTCCTTTTGGAAAGCATCGTTGTGAAACTGTCTGGAGGATTAATTACCACCTAATGCTAGGGAGTGAAAAACTCAGATCTCAGACAGTTTTAATGGGATAATGCTGAAAGAGGGCTCAGAAGAAAAACAAAACAGCTCAGCTGAAAAAAAATCAGTATGAATGGCTCTTTTTGGGCTGAACAGTGCTGTGCTCCATGAAGCTGTGCTAAAAGAAAGAAGACAGAGGGTACGCTGAGTCTTCCCCTGTGATCTGATGCTGCTGGAGCTGGGAACAGGCACATCCGCCAGCTTTATACCCTAGTCTCTGAGGAGCAAGGAAGTTGGGAACTACCAGTATTAGCAGAAAACCCCAAGAAAGCAGCATAGTAAGAGCAGAGAAAAGCTGTTGCCTTGGTGCATGTTGGCTGGGTTTCTGATGGCTCCTTTAGCACAAGAGGAGGGCTCTCAAGGGCTAGCTGTTCCCAGTGCTCCTGTGGGCAGGGTGCCCATCTCCCTCGCAGTATCTTCAAAGGGTTTACAGGGCACGTGCCCTGCATAGGAAATTGCCAAGAGCCATAATGTGAGCTTTTGAAGTTCACAACACCTGAACTTGCCCAAAACACAGGCAGAAATTAAGATCTGAGGGTGCCCTCTTCTCTGAATTGGCAAACGTCTTTCAAGCACCATTGCGGGTACTCACATAATGGGGTTGATTTGATGGGAAAGGGACTGTAGAGAGGAGGCTGGATGTGGGAAGTAAAGCTGTATGCCTAATCAGAGTCAAACTGTTTCCTATAAATGTCTGCAGGCAGATTAGAAGAGCACCAAGATGCCCAAGCCTTACCTTGTTCCGATGTTTTTTCTGATGTGTTAATGGTATCCACACTCTTCATACCTTTTGGATCTTGCTCTGGCTTTTTAGGCTCTGAAGCAAAATTGAGAACATTAGAAAAGGCAGCTCTGGAAGAAATAATTTTAAGTCTCCTATTTAGAGATTATCAGTCCCCAAAGGAAGACAACCCATCACATACCAATAGGTAGATCAGTCAGCCTAACTAGAGCTTTATCAAGCAAGGACAAAAAGTGATGACTGGATGCCTCTACAGAGTAGTCACCCCATGTCTTTGGTGCCAAATTTAGGCATTTTTACTGCCCAAGAGCTCCTGCCACTATCAATAGCATTTCTGAAGTGAGCAATAAATATGGGATTTTACGACTAATAAGCCAATACTCATAAGGTTAATGCATCGTGTTGATTTTTTTCCTCTGAGTAGCAGCATGTCCCAAGAATCACAATCATGGTGTGTGTAGGGTGTTTGCAGAATACCAGCTAATGTGAAATATTTCAGCCACTGATTAATTTTCAGATGTATTTTTTTCTTGACTGGCATTTTGAGATTATTGCGCAGCCAAATTCTGAAAACCATGTACTGCCTAAGAAGGAAAAGGGAGATTTCTTGGTTCTTTTCTCTTTATCATCAGTGTACTTGGAACACTTATTACAGTTTTTTTACTGCAACCTTGCTAAATAATCTGTTTCTACTTTTATGTCTGACTGAGTACTAGAGGGTTTTGATCTTGGGGGGGTGGTTGTTTGTTTGTTTTGTTTATTTGTTTGGTTTTTGGTTTTTCTTCTCCAGCTCTTTTGGCAACACTGAACTATTTGACAATTTACTCCAATATTAATAGTTTCCTAAAATTTTGTACTATTTTTTCTAAAAAAACATATTTTAATTGTTTTTCCAGCTGTGAAGGATTACAATTTTGGGAAGGTTTTTCTTGCTGTGCCCAGCGTTTGAGAAGCACTGTAACCACCAGCAGCACTTAAAGAAACTTCAGGCACTGTGAATAGCTAGTGTCCCTGTGGTGAGGACCAAAACTGCATCTCTGACAGCTGATCAGGTATGAAGCAGGATTTTTTGCTAATCTGACAGCTAGTGAGTGTAATACTCAAAGGACTGCCTTTACTTTCAACAGATAATGGATTTAAGTATCAAAGTGAACAGTGTGGTCTCTGTAATATAAATTAGAATTAAAAATTAGCTCTTTTTAAAGTAAAAAATAAGTAGGAAATCCTCTAGCACAAGATGGCCCTGGCACCATATTACAGAGATTTTTATTTTTAAAACAAGCTGTTTCTTATCAAAGAACATCTGAGATGGCAGGGCCATGGTGACAGGTCTGAGGAGGGCCGACAGGACCAAGTGGGACTTGGTGAAGATGGGTTGTGGCCATCGGATTTCTTTGTTACCTGTGAGCCAGGGCTGGGCAAAGCCAGGTAGTGACATTCATAGTGGCATTGGGTTTCATGTTAGTTGTTTGTTCCTTTGATAATCCTGGGTTTTCTCTTTGTGAATGCACAGTCTTTGTTGCTAGGATCCTAGCATTTTCATTCACATTGTTTGTTTCAAGAACAAAGTGAACACTTGCGTCTTTGGTTTACTGCAGGAACAGGTTCCTGCTATTTGTTTGTGTCATTGAACAGCGACTTAATGACACGCCCCATTTGTACACTGATTCTCGTATTATGTGGGTTTTATCACTGGTGTAAGACATCATTGCTTACAGCCTGTTGAGCTCAGTCCTGACTGCATTTCATGAATGACTTGCATGCAGGACTGGAGGGCATACTAAGCAAGCTTGTAGATGACACGAAACTTGGAGGAGCTGTTGACTCCCTCAAAGGCAGGGAGGCCCTGCAAAAGAGACCTCGACAAGTTAGAGTGCTGGTCAATCACCAGTTCAAGAAGGGAGAGTGCCGGATTCTGCACCTGGGGTGGGGCAACCCTGGATGTAAACAGAGACTGAGATGCTGGAAAGCAGTGCCAAGGAAAGGGACTGGAGGTCCTGGCTGATGGCAAGCTGAATATGAGTCATCAGTGCCCCGATGACCAGGAGGGCAACCGTGACCTGGAGGGCATCAAGCAGCCAGTCAGGGGAGGGAATTGTCCTGCTCTGCTCTGCACTGGGGTGGCCTCACCTTGAATTTTGTGCAGTTTTGGGCAACACAATATAAGAAAGATATTAAGCTGTTAGAGAGTGTCCAAAGAAGGGAAATGAAGTTGATGAAGGGTCTTGAGGGGAAGGCTTATGAGGAGCAGCTGAGGTCCGTTCAGCCTGGAGAAAAGGAGACTGAAAGGAGACCTCATTGCAGTTACAACTGCCTTGTGAGGGGAAGAGGAGGAGCAGACACTGATTTCTTTTTTGTGGTGACCAGGGACAGGAACCAAGGGAATGGCCTGAAGTTGTGTCAGGGGAGGTTTAAGTTGGATATTAGAAAAAGATTCTCAACCCAGAAGGTGGTTTGGCACTGGAACAGTCTCCCCAGGGAAGTGGTCACAGCACCAAGCGTGACAGAGTTCAAGAAGCATTTGGACAATACTCTTGGGCACATGGTATGACTCAAGGGGATAGTGCTGTGCAGCACCAGGGTTGGACTCAATAATCCTTGTAGGTCTCTTCCAACTCAGCATATTCTGTGATTGTCTCTGGTCTGCTGTGAGACCTTGGGCTGGTTATTTCAAGTGTGGCTACATTTGGGAATGATGTGTTGCAATTTTAGTAAGCATTTCTCAGAAAAAGCCAAGATTTCTAACATATTTCCTCCCTTCTAGCAGTGCATAGTATTTGGTCAACCAATTTCTGTGTACTTGACCAAGATATATATAAATCTATACCTATTTGATTGTAAATGCAAAGGTATTACAAATGAAAGGCATGGAATTGAGTGATGCGTGTTCAGTCTGAACACTAGAAAGCTTTCAGATTTAAATTTGCCTTTGTTCAAGTGAAAACCTAAAGACAAAGGTCAGTGAAGCTGGTGAAAGGTCTAGAGCACAAGTCTTATGAGGAACAGCTGAGGGAACTGAGGTGTTTTAGCCTGAAGAAAAGAAGGTTCAAATGGTACCTAATGACTCTCTGCAACTACTTGAGGTTGAAGTGAGGTGGTGGGGAAATGGCCAGAAACTGCTCCAAGGGAGGTTTAGATTGGATATTAGAAAGAATTTCTTCATGGAAAATGTTGTCAAGCATTAGTATAGGCTGTCCAGAGAAGCAGTGGAGTCACCATTCCTGGAGATATTTGAAAGACATGTAGATGTGGCACTTAAGGACATGGTTATTGATGGACTTGGCAGTGCTGGGTTAATGTTTGGACTTGATGATCTCAGAGGTCTTTTCCAACCATAATGATTCTATGATTCTATAAGAAAAGAGCTCTGTACTTTGCTTCCAAGGACCAAACAATCATGTACAGGAGAAGAGCAGGTCTCCACAGCTCACAGTGGATACGCTCAGGAAGGCTCAGGCCCAGCAATCAGCAAAAGGGCCGTGTTAGGGAAGTATGTAGGGGTATGGGACATGAATTTTGTTTTCATTCACACGCCCAAGGGGGAGTTGGAACCTCACACAGTTGTTACGGAGAGCCCAAACAAGTGTCATTTCAGTGACAGAGGCAAGCCACGCGCTCTTGAATATCAGCTACCAACCAGTGTGAGACTTGATTAATGACCTCTGAAAACAACTAAATTATTTAAACTGAGCTGAGTCTTACAGAGTAGGATGCTGACTAAAATGATTCCTTATTTAAGCTGCTGTGTGTTGCCATCTGTGTCATTAGTATTATGTTACTATTTAATGTTATACTTTAAGCACTGAATATCCCAAGAGTTAACATGAATAACACTAGGAAAAAGACAACATGTATAACCTCAAATGCTTTCATATAACCAGTAAAATGTCGTATTCAGTAACAGATCTAAAGCAAGGGGTAAACTACTCGGAAACAGAAGTCTGTGAAGCGTGGTATGACCAAAAAATAGAAATTGTCTGAGATGATTTCTGTATACTTAACATAGAAAAATACCATGACTGATTTAGGTGAGATACTAATGGTTGCATGAACTTCTGACTCTGAATAATTATATCGCTGTATTACACAACTGAGAAACTATGACAGATTGTTGTGAATGGATGTAAGGGAAAGTAAGTAGCAATTACTTGCCTGATTTAACAGCAGTACTTTTTGAAGAAGAATATTCAAGAGTTGATGGATATGTCACACCTTTTCTTGGCTTGCCCTCTACAAAACAATATTAGAAAGCATCACAAAATATTCTAAGCTTTCTTGCAATTAAATTCTGATCTAACATAGGTGTTTAGAATTAGACCCCTCTTCTTTACTGCCCAACTCATTTTCATGAAGATTTCCTTCATCTGATGGCAGAATCTCAAAACCATACCACTAAAAATACCAACACCTAAATCCAGCATCATAGAAAAAAATTAGAAAGCATGAAAACACAGTCCTGGGGAGGAATTGAAGAGCTCAGTAAGTTCATTCCTTTGCTCTCAAATGATATTAAACACACAGAGATCATTCCTGAAGGATATCTGTATAACTTCTACTTAAACCCACAGCTTCCCTAGGCAGCCTTTTCCAGTGCTTGACTATGAGTTGACTTAGAAAGCATGTTTGATGTGGGATTCATTTCATCATGCACACATCATTCTTCTCCGACCTCAATTCTGTGAGATGCCATTTCTGGCAACAGCCTTTTGCAGTAATAACAGTGAGAGAAGGCTATGCTTCTGTGTGGGAACATATGGTACCTATATTTAGGTCTAAAATGAGGGTCCTGTCTTAAAACAATGAGGTATGTTTCCCAGTTAGGGTTTAAACCACAAATCTTTTTAGTGCAACAGCAGATGCCATCTCTATTGGTACGTGTGGCTATGCAATTCCAGCTCTCAGGACAGTTTTTATATTCACATATGTCACTGAGTGAAAAGCATTGCAGAGAAGCCCAGTGGAGAAAAGACTGCTTTGGCCTCTAGGAGATGGTGGATGTAGGTCTTCTGGACCCTGGGGACTGTCTCTACAAGATGCTGTGCTGTGTCATGTATCTGCACCACCTCAACTGAGAACTACTTCTACCTCCTGCAAAACCTGAGATATGGTGATCTTTCTTTTATTCCCTTGGTGAATTCTTTAAGGAGGTACGTACGGCACTGCAAGCATGTCAGTTGTCATCCTCGGTGATTAGTCCAGAGACCAATAGCACTGAACAGAATAAACTCCTACAGACTGAACCACTCATGGGAACTGGGAGCTGTTTCCCCTGTGATGGCACACAAAGCAAGGTATATGGCAGAGGAACTCTATGGGTGCGAATGTCCATGGAACTGGATAGTCAGTGTCCTTTGCCCCTTTTCATGTCTCTATCTTCTTTGTTTTACTCCTCTAATGAGGCAATAATGTAAGAAACTGTCCCATTTTTCATTTAGAGTGGTGTAAAATGAGAGCAGCTCTACTGAAGTCAATACAGATCCACCAAAGAACCAGGTTAGCATGCAAGGACAACCTGGAAGGAGATTCTTTCTTGCCCTCTGGGCTTCTTCACAGGATTTAGTCTAAGTGAAGGGCAGCAGGTTTTCACATCTACTTCCCCTTGAGCTAAAACTGGGATCAGGGGCCAAGCAGGACTAGGGAGCTCTTCTGCCAATTTGATAGAAAGAGAGAAAAGTTATGGGATCAGAGGTGACTTTTAAAGGCTTTTCTTTATCCCCAACAAAGGAAGAGTTGTCAGATACGAGCAGCTGATACATGGATGCTGTAATAGTGTAATAATATGATCCTAATTCAGAATATTTCTGTGCTAATCTGATTTCTAATGAAAACCTTAAGCCCACTGCTGTGCAAATACACCAGCTAGTGTGGGGAGGCTGGCTGCTGCTGGATTCTGGGGTTTTTTATCAACAGCAATTGGCATGTTCTATGTGACCAAGAGATGGGTCTGAGGCCCTACTCTCTGGAGCAATGGTAATATGACTTTTTCACTCCTGGGAAAAAGTTACATCTAAGATGGAGATTGCTTAAAATACTTAAAAATGTGTTAGCATGTGGGCTGAAAACATCAACTTTGGCCATTGAAATACAAGCTATGGTGTGGTGCCTGCTCCCCCTCTCACACTTACTTTTGACTAGCAAACACAGAAGTTTAGGACTTTATTTTCTTAACCCACTAGCTGCAAAACTCCTGCTAAACTGAATGGAGTCATTTAACTGAGAGCCAAGGCATTTCAGTGCTTGAAAGTGAATACCGAGGCAATTGCATACCTCCTGGTGTGCTGGCTGCTTTAATCCCAGAGGACAGACCTTCTTCTCCACTGCCCCTCAATCATGCCACTTCATTGCCTGAGTCCCCCAAGGATTCCTCTTCCGTGCTCTTTTGTGTGGATGCTCATTCACAATTTAAACATCACTAACTCAGTGACAATACCGTAACTAGGAATAAACTCTTGGCACATTTCCAATGTAGAATGTTGCATACAGGTCTGGTCTGCTGAAAGGAAATTCAGCTGGAGAATAGGTGACTCCAAAGCTGTTCTGAAATTAATGCCTTAGGTGACTTTGTATTTTTATTCAGCAATGCTTTATGCAGTTCTGTCTTTTTGTGACTCATAATTGTAAAAAAAACAATCCCATCTCATCATTTTCTGAGAATGTGATTTGTACGCATTCATCCTCAGGCTGCTGAGATGAATAGCACAGCCTTCCTGGGTTTTAGTCTTCTAAATTTCTCTAAATTTCCCACATTTTCAGTGAGTTTTTTTCCTATGGATATATGAAATATAACGTTATCTGGTATGTTAGATTTACATTGGAGCTAGTTTATAAACCAAGAGTTCCACTGACATCAGTGAGAGTACTCAGTATGCATAAAATTAGGTGTACGAGGGACAAGTCTCATCATGCCTACACATACCCGGATTTCTCATCATCTCCTTTTACACGTGCTTCTAACTTTCTTTGTGTCTTCTTTTATGGTGTCTCACTAATTAAGAATAAATATTTATTACCATAAATCAAAAATTCTTACAGTTTTATTGAAGAATTCCTACAGTTTTATAGGATTACAACTGAGCAGCTGCTGATGTAAAACAAACAAACAAACTATTTCCCATTTATGTACCAGAATTAAAATGTGCTATTTGTTGGGGGGAAAAAAACTGCAACAACTGCAAATAGCAATTCAGCTATTCTGGGAAATTCCTACTCATCCAAAAGAAATCCTTCTCATAATGTGGTGTATCCATGGCAGACTACTGTAAAAAAATGCATCGAAATACATGAATGGAAAATTGAGGTAACAGGTTTTTTGGTCAGTTTCTGAGACCTCCTTTGATGTCTACAAATTTTCACAGGAAAAGAACATTTCTTTGTTTTTAGAGGCTGTTCAGTTACTTGAGCTGTTAAGTTTTCCAGGAATTATGTAGTTAACTAACATCTATAATAATATACAATATAAATTTAAATATAAAAATATATATAAATATAAAATATTAATGTAAAATAATCAATGCTTATCTTAAAACTTCAAAAGTTCAGACCAGCAAGAACAGGCCCACTGTATGGATACATGAAGGAGTTAGATTTAGAAATTATAAGTAAAGCAATGTCAAGCAGACCCTTTCACACAGGTAGAATGTGCAAGTAGGCATAAAATAATCTGAAGCTAGTGTAAAGGGGATCTAATTTAGAAAAAAGCCCCTGTCTCTAAATTGTGCCAGTGAATGCAAGTGACCTCCTGTATATACTATGGGGAGAAAAAAGGAATGATCATTGAATTGAGATAGATTTCCCTGCAGTGAGTAGATATCAGAACTATTTGGCTAACAGAGTGGAGAGAATTCCTGACATACTTAGGATGCACCAGTCAAGTTGCATAATATAGGGTTTGCATACATACAGTGTGACTATATGTGGCTTGAGATTGCTTGACAGAAGTTGCTTCAGGAGAAGCAAACTCAGGGACAGGCTGAGGATGCTTCATACAGCCAAAAGGCCCTTTCGCTCGCTCAGCAGCACTGCTTGCCAGGATGGAGAGCAACAGGAAGGCCTCGCAGTGAGTACCAAAGCTCAGATCTTGTTCATCAATAGCCCCAGTTAAGGTGCCTTCAGAGACTCAATGAGGAACACCTGTCACCTCCTGCAGTGGGCTCATACCCACGCTGGGCTGAGCTGAGCACACCACTGGGAGGGTGTTTGTACTTTGTGGGCTACATAGGAAGCCCAGAACAAAAAGTGTCTCAAATGCATTATTCATGCTAAAGCTGGGTGGAGTGGGCCTGTGCTGACTAACCAGGTCTTTAGAAGGAGAGGCTGCTTCCCTCTCCACCCCTTGCTGCCCAGCTATCAGACAATGGGGAGAAGGCAGGGAGGGCAGGGGGCTCCAGTGCTCCACCTCAGAATGGTACCTGAGACGAGGAAGGACTCCCTCCAGCGCGGCAGTGACAAGGACCGGACCCCGTTGGAGAAGGTCCCGCGGTAACCAGAGTGGCCAGCAACTTTCTGGACAAGGATCTTCCCGCCTGTGTTGTCAATTATACCACTGCAAGGAGACAACATGATGTCTGAAGGCAGAAATTCCATGAAAAACTTGGAAACTGGTCTAAAATGCGAGAGCTGCGAAGCATTTGCTTTTACCTTTAAACCAGGTTTGGTACTGGGGCTGTCATGCTACTACTAAGTCTAGTGCTAAGAAATATTTGTGCTTCTTCTGCTCAGAGAAGGGCAGTTTGTTATAAAGTGCTGTCAGGATCTGTTTGCTCTTCCCACTGGTTTACTGGTCCTTTATTTAAGCTTGACCTAGTTGCACACAAGAAAAAACTACTGCCTTCGTTAAAATTCCTGCGAGCTTGATTAAATGACTGAAGATACAGAGAGAGGTACTCAGAGGAGTTTTTAGGCCAGCCATGTGATAGAATGTGTTTTCTTAGAATTTCAGTATGTATTATCTGCAAAAGACTAAGCCTGGTTCTGACCTCAGCCTGGAGTAAACTCGACACAATGTTGCTGGAAGCTGTAGAAAACCTGGCAGGCTCCATGTGCTGTGCACATCAAATGGTGTTTGTCATATGATGTCGTGCATCTCAAGACAAATAGAAAACCTCCAGTGCAAGCAACCTGCTCTGGCATCACTAGGACAGCAAGTAAACCTGGAAGTGACTGTAACTGTAGGGGTGTGGTAGGGCTGGTAGTAATGACTGTGCAGAAAAATAAGTAATGGGTAGCAAACAGTGTGGAAGAACGTGTTGGAGCTGTAGCTTTCTCTGATGATTGCAAGAAGCTGCAGTCAAAACAAATGTATAGAAATGAAACTCACTGTCTGTGGAAATGCAGCATGTAAGGTAACAAAGCCAAAGCCAGCTGGCAAATGAGAAAAACAGAAACCTTCACTGCAATAATACAGACAGCCAGCATTTGAAATACAGAGTTGAAATACGGTTGCTACCAGTAGTTTATAATTCCCTTTGGGACTAGTTCTGCATGCAGAGAGAATTTCCATGGTGCACTAGTATCCAAAGGAAGAATTTGTCGCTGAAAGCCTGTCAATCATCTCCCAAGCAAGTGGCTGAGCAGGCAGAGCTGCAGCCAGGAGGTGGCAGCCCTATGCACACAGGCATTTCAGCCTGAGACCTGCACAATGCAGAGGCAAGGTGTAAACTCCCAAAGCTTTAACTATGCAACTTTACTCGAGATCCCAGCGATTTCACAGAACTGGAAGCTTGGCAATAGCTCAAATAACTCTGAATGAAGTCAAGTTGTCAATCAGGCTCTGTAAGTTCTTACGGTGTTTTCAGCTGAATACATCCTGCTCTGTATCCTGCCACCAATTAAGGTTTTTAGATTGTGCAGTTATTCTCCATTAAAATTTTATGCACATTTTTGCATGGATAATAAAACTCAGCAAAATTTGTGCTATAAAATTTGTATTATACATTTCCTTGTGCAGTGCCCTTTTATGTGGCAGGAAAGCACATTACTCAGCCTTTGATGTCAAGGGCAGTTAAATTCAAATCTGGAGAACCAAACCAATCCCAGAAGTATGAGAGTTATGTGTATTCATCACTGGTGATATGCCTATTTTTTTTTCTTAAGCTCTGTTAGTAGCAGCAACTCCATCCCTGTCTTCCACTTGAATAATAATAGTACAATAGTAATTTGCTATGCATGAATGAGAAATCTGTGAATCTCAAGACATTTCTCCAAAGGCTGAGAAACTTTTTCAAACAACTGATTTCAACAGGAATACAGGATTAACAGCACTTTATAAGAATCGATCCATTATATCATACATGGTCTTTCTCTCAGGTTTTGTACTAGAACAGCACCCTGCAAGCAAACCTAGAAGGCAGTGGGAACTGTAAAGGGTTTGAAAAGTCAAAAGCTCTCTACACTGTAATGATGTTTTTTCTGAGTGCCTTGCTCATTTCAACCCACTCACCTGTGAATTGCAGCATTGCAGACACTGGAAAAGGAAGCATAAATGTCTGTGCCATAAACACGGTATTTTACGTCTTGACATCCGGGAGGGCACTTTGCAATGAATTCTGGATTGATTATCTTCCCTGCCTTGACGTCGCAATCAATCTGGGGTACATCTGTGAGTGCAAAATCTTGGTAAAGTCAGATTGAATGTTCTCATAGCTGACTGATCTTGTCATGAAACAATGAGCAACTGAGTGCAGGAATGCCCTCCTCCTATGCCTTCAGATCAATGGGTTTGTGATACAAGGGTTCTGTGTGTTCTTCATCTTCAACATAATGCATAATAACTCCTATACCAAGGGATGTAGCAGTAACTAAGGGTGGAATGAAGAAGCCTGCGGATATTTCTGACCTTCAGTGTTTGCTTCTCTGAAGGAAATTTTTGTTATGCTGCTTTACTGGAGAGAGAGAGGAGGCTGTCACCCGGGCTGTGGTTAACACGTGGGAAGGAGGGGGTAGGAATGCTTCCCAAACCTCCTGCTGTGCTCTTGTAGCTCTGTGCCATCTATAACGTCAGGCTGCAGTCAGAGCCCATTATCTTGCCCTTAATTTTTAAAACTATTTGCTGGGTGCAATTTACTTTGAACAAGGGTTTAAGTGTGAGTTTGCAGCCTCACAGCAGGCTTGTTTGTCAGCTACATGAGCAAAATAATCTGTGCACAGAAATGCTCCTACAGCAATATAGCTGAAAATCATAAATCCTGGTGCATAGATATGCACCACTTGTCTCATGCTAATCAGCTACATATGCTTTGTGTTACAGCTGGTTCATTTCACATATTTCTCTCTCTCTCTCTCTCTCTCACTCTGTGGGAAAACCTTAGTGCTTGCTTGGATCCTTGTGTGGTACTTAAAGACCTACGAAGATGCATTTGAGTAGCGAAGTACAAAATTTTCCCTTTACTCGTTAGGTAGCACACACTTTACTTAGTGATTTGTTTTTAATAAAAGAATCTGCTGGAAAACATATACTCCCACTGACTCCACAAAATTGTGAAAAGTTACCAGAATATAACCTTACTTTGCACTTATTTTATGTATCAGACATGCATACTGTAAAGCAGCCAAGAGTTCTACAGGGACCACTTACATAGCTTAGGTTTTTTTGGCTTCTTTGTGGCTTCCTTAGCTGTGTATGTACATGTAAGATACACACCTAGAACAAAGGAAACATAGTATCAGGAAAAAGGAGGACTATCAACATCAGTTACCACAAACTCCCATGAATGAGATTTCTCAAATTTGAATCAACAGGTTGAAAAACAGGAACGGGAATATTCTCAGCCATAGCTAGGTTCCTACTTGTTAACTTTGCAGTCAAGACGACATCTACTGAGGGGAAGTTTTTTGAAAAGGATTAAAGATCACCTCACATAATCACCTGTGGAACTCATTGCCTAAACACTGGGTGTCCATGTGGTCCAGAAAACCACAAAAGGTCCCCGTATTTCCACAAGCACTGGAAACTCTTTGTAATTGGTGTGATAGAGACATTAGTGAAACAGCATGCTCTATGTATAAAGCAGCTGGGAAATTACGGAGAGAAAGATTCCTCCTAATATCCCATCGGGAAGGTTATCCTGTAATTGTGCCTTGTGGCATTTCACTCACTGCTGGTAGCAGGTAGCGAATACTGGGGAAGCATTACAGGTCATTTGAGGTTCTAGTGAAGCATGTCCCCGTATCCTGTCACAGCAAGGGCACTCATTTTCTTCAGTAAGCAGAATTATGATTCAATAAGTGTAGTAGTAAAAGAGACATACGCTATTATGTTGAAACATGCATCGCAATATATGCGTGTAGCTTACCTTGTTGGGTTTACTTGCTAAGTGATGGCATGCAAAACCTCTTCATTCGCTATGCTTATTTTATAAGAACTGCATTACGGATAATTAATAACTTCATTACAAGTATCTTGACTTTTCTATTCACCTTTCTCTTCTCTGAACTTTCAGAGGGAATTAAAACCCTCTGAGTTGTGTCGGCTGATCCTCTTATCATTTGTTAAGCTAATCTTACTAGCATATGCAACAGAAGTCATTTCTTTCTTTTATGCACTTCTCCCCCTAGACTGATTGTAGAGAATTTGTAGACTTAATCACTCCTAGAACTTGCTCAAAAGAAAAAGCAGTTCCACTGTATAGATGCAGTATTTGGGCCTTTTGTCACTGGTGCAGTTGTGTAACCAAGGTAAAATTGTAGTTAAATAAAAAAAAGGAATGAATCAGTGGAAAGTAAGCTAAAAAGTCTCAACTATCTGGAATGCTAGAGCATAATATAATGTGGAAAAAGGAATTTGATAATTTGTAGTAGAAGAACTACAGGAATTGCTGTGAATTTGAACTAAGAACTACTGTTCTGACAGACTTGAGGATAACAGCTAGAAGGAATATTGCCTAGGAATATCACAACCAGAGTGTTCATTGCAAATTCTGGAGTCTCTACTTGTTCCCAAAAAGCAAGATCCTGTCTGACTGCCAGGGGAAAGAAACTAAAACACATTATAACGTTTTGGTACCATCGTGTTCATGGAAAGACCAAGAACAGAGAGAAATGTGAAAGGCTGTCCCTATGTAAGAAACAACTGACTTTTATTTAGAGGGAAACTTTACAGTACTAACATTTTTCAGGCACAGTTGTGCCATCTGATATGGACTGCATGCAACTGGTCAGGTACTTATAGATCTCTACAAGTGCTTAATATTTTTTCTATGCCAAAGCCAAGAAGTTTGGGTAGCCCATTTCTGAAAAGCTGTGCCAAGGCTTACACCTGCCACTTTGAACTTCATCAGCCATGGAGTCCAAAAGGAAGAGGATAAGTCAGCAGCCACTGCTCAGCCAGGACAAATCCATAAACTCCTAATTGCAGCACATCAACTGTACTTACCAAAGAAGGTTGCAATGACCGTGGCCTTCATGGTGAGTAAAGCAAAATCTGGATGTGTCACTAAGAAGCACTGAAAAAGAAAAGAAGAGCTCATCAGGCTGTGTTCTGAGGTATCTCAGATGACATTGGAATGGTGGGGGAAGAGGGACTGTGTGCTCTTTTTTGATTTTTTATGGTCCTCACATGCTGCATCCTCTTCTCATGCTGTAGAGCAGCTCATGTCCCCAGAGGAGATGGTCTTTGGACTGTGGCACTCCCATGGACTGTTTTTTTTACTTCTGTCTAATATTTGCCTTTTGCCTCAGGGAACCAAGATTTCATTCACATACTTATTTCTGAAGCCAGTGTCAGGAGAGGGCATGATGGGCACAGACAAGCTCTGACAGCTATTCAAGTCTGCTCACTACTCTTCGAGACATAATCACAGAATTGTATTGTCTACACATCAAACCTCACCATGTAATCTCATGTAGATATGGGGAACATAAATAAGTCCATTCACTCCTGAAGGATATTGCATAAAGTATTTTGCAATAGTCCATCTTTTCTGAGCCAAATTACTGGTTTCTCGCCTTTTCTGAGGATGTGCATGTACGTGAGCACCTGAGATTACGAGGACTCTGTCAGAACATCTGGGAAACATTTTTTCTTGGGTCTGCATATGTGGTTCGTGATCCCTGCCATCCCTGATGCTCTTGGCCAGGCTACAAGAATGTAAACTTATCAGAGATAACTCCTCTCAGCTCCTCCTGAGCATCACCTGCTGCTTTTGCTGTTATTTGGTGATTGTTGAGGGAATCCTGCATTGGGCACTCATAATTAATCACAGTCATTAAAGTACTATCTATGCTTAACAAATCAGAGTAAAAAGTCCAAAAGGGAGAAAATATTTGCGTGTTGTACAGGGAAAAGCTTGAGAATCAAAATAAACTTGATTTTCAAAGAAACTTATTACAGGCTTACAAATGGAAAGATTCGTAGTAAAATGAAAACTAACTTGTTATCAAGGAAGAAAATACATGGAATGTTAAAACTGCAAATGATCAGAAAAAGCAACATATCTTCCTCCTAGAAAAATGGCAGTGGCAGATTTCACAGAGCAATTCATGTACTCAGAAACAGGGCTTTGGATGCCCAAGAAAAAAATTTAGACAAAAAAGGCAGATTCAAGAGAGAAAGAGAAAAAATATATCCAATCTGTCTTCATTTAAAATGTTTCCACATTTTTTTACTTTAATTGTTCTTCTTTTTCAAGCTTCTAAGGCAAGGATGACTGACATAGCATGCTAGACTAAACTGAGTTCATCCAGTTCTAGATCTATATAATTTATAACCCTTTTTACATGGAGCATAGGCACCTCTGATTTTTGCTTCTGTGCTACAGTCAGAGAATTCAAGTGCAGGGAAATACTAACAGTATCACTTCCTAATAGCACTATGTGTTTCCTTGGTGATCTCCCTAAAACCATCCCCCTGCTAAGGTTGCTAAAGCTGAAAGAAACAGGCGTTGCTCAAAAGACACTGAATTGAATCCTGGAGGTATGGAAAGTGGTTCCAAATGATTACTGTGTCTTTCTGAAAAATGATGGGTCGTGCAATTGGGGTGACCCGCGGCTGTACAAGCCATAGCAGCAAGAGCAGTTATGTGGTAATATTCTGCTGTCACAGTTCATTTCTATCAAAACATTTCTCCCAAATTCTAAAAAAAAAAAAAAAAAAATCCATGTGAAACTACTAAAGAAACTAGTAATAAGCTATAGAAGAGAGTTCAGAGAAACTTAGCTCAGATGCTTTTCTCCTTATTTATATGTCTCAACCCATCAACACAGCAGAGATCTCAAAAATTACATCCCTGCAACGAGTTCTCACTTTAGGTCAATCAGAAAAAGAAGAAGGAGAAGTACAACTGCAATTAATTTGCAGAAACACCATGCAAACCATTAAAGACTACATTGGCACTGGCTTAGGCTTTGGGAAAGCATCTTAATACGAGTATTCCCAAAATCTGCAGCAAATAAATTCAGCAGAGACATCTTTTTTTTAAAGTCAAAGGGACCTGTGAGAATGTGTCCTGACAGTATTTGGCTTGGTGCTGAGACATTCTCATCTCCTTTTTAATTAGAGTAGAACAGGTCTAAGATGGTAGAGGATCCATGTAAAAGCTGGCTTTATGGGTCTGTTGCTGTGTACTCTGTGGAGAGAATCCAGTACTATTTGACTTTTGCTGCCTCACAAAACATATAACAGTCTGTACCACCAGTACTGCACAAGACTTCCCATTGCTTCCTGGAGGCCCTGGTGTCCCCTGTCCTCAGGCCATGTTCTGCTGCCCCAGGAGTTATCCCAGTCCTTCTGTGTGGCACAGCCCTAGGGTTGGCTGCTATTGCAATTTCTACCTAGTCTGCTGCTGGGCATTTGCTTTTCAAGGCAACAGCAAGTGGGCTTTTTTTCTTAAAATATTATGAATTTACTGCAGAAAGAGGCCAATAAATTTATAAGGATTTAATATGTAAAGCCTGTCGGGGCAAATGTGTTCAGCAGACCCGTTAGCCTTCAATAACAGATGCTTATCAATAAGAGAGCTAAAAGAAGCATTTAGTCAGGGCTGTTAAATTTACTTAACAGATTTGTTGTCATAGCTACACAGAAAAAGTATCTTATTGTGGACTATGTACTTTTGCTGGTGCAGTTTATACCAGTTTCCTGATGGAAATAAATTATAATAATAAAGAAACTTATTTTTGCCACTATATTAGGCACTAGTATATCAGGAAAAAATGCATAGCACGACAGTACTCCAAGGGGGGTCCTGGCCTTTAGACCTTGGGCTGTCACATGGGGAAATGCACAGGAGGATTTACATTGCCAGCTATTAAGTAACAGGCATAGAAGCTCCAAGCTTTCTGTTGTGGGAAGTCTGTGTTCATTCATTGTATGTGGGGCCTAGGGAGTCACCTGATTTAAGCTGTGTGAGATCTCCTACACTGTGCACTTGCATGGCATCCGCTACTTCAGACGGGTAAAGGGAGCAACAGCCTGGAATAAAACATGGGGGTTTTTGTTTCTTTTGGAAGTAAGGGCAAAGCAGAGCTCCAGTCCATGCATATGACAGGCTTTCTAGTCTGTGCACATCCACTGGGAGGTTTGGGGATGTTTTATCTATAGAACAAGAATAATACTTTACTATTAAACATGAAGCTGTTCTTCCTTTGTTCCATTACAAAATGAATAGGTCCCATTAAAACAAAACCAAATGTTTCTGCTTTGGGTTAGTCTGGAGCATGAGTTTTGCTGAGATTTGTCCTAATTAGACTTCTATTCATGCAGTATTTGCAGACCCAGTCAGAAATGGTGACTAGTGACTATTCACTGTTAAATCTCTAAACTGTGTGCTGGATCTCTGTTTATCAGAGTACATTTTCCCATCTATATCCTTCCGACTGTCACATCAGAATTTACCCTTAAGCCAGGAAAGCAGTTAAGTGTATGCATTACATTAACATATGCTTAAATCCCAGCTAAGTACAAATGCAGTAAGAAACATCTCCTTTGGTGCTTCCCAGTGCAGATCCTATTTTACCCTTTAAAATGAAAGTTCTATTTGAAAGAATGTTTATTACTTTTTTCCTACCACAAATACTTGAAAATTCTTGGATGTTAGTGAACAGAGTTAGCAAACTATTATTTCTGCATATAAAATAAAATTTTTTATCCTGACCTTTTATTAGCAACTTGACTTTTATAAAGATCTGAGAAAGCTGCTACGTACTGCAAGCAAACAGATGGTTTAGAGCTACATAAATTCTCACTGTATGACAAATTATTACATTTTCTGATGGAAGTGTAGGTTTTAAGTCCTTGATTTTTGGTGTCAGGCACTGCTGTCCATTCCACGTGCAAACTGAAATTCTTTGCTGGTGCCATGTGCTTTGCAGAAGTAAGGAGTTTATCTTCTATAATCTCCTGTGCCGCAGAAATAAATTTGTATACTCTCTTTGTACCACAATAGTGTGTGCTATTGTTCCCTTTCTGAAGGGGTTCTAATGTCACAGAAGCACTGGCACCATAAAAAAAAAAACAGAAGTGGACTTTGTTTGAAAGCTGTCTGAGCAAGTGGCATGGAGTTAACAGCATGATCTCTAAGCTCTGTGGGTTGAGTTAAATATGTGCCCTTTATGGGAAAATCAAGTGGGCTTGGTGTGGGTGT